TTGTAAATATGTGCTATCAATTTTCTCAGAATTGATATTTTAAGAATAGAAGAATAACCAATCAATCTTTTAGCATTGTCAATATGCTGAACACATACTAATAAGAATTTTATTGCTAGAAAGTCCCATAAAAAATTATGAAATCCAGAAAAGGGTACACTTAGTCTATAGACCACACAGAAAGAGTACACTTAGTGTCTATAGACAAGGAAATGATAGACATAAGAAAATCATGAAATCCATAACAAGATTTTCTATTACAAATAGAAGAATATATATGAAATTAAAGAGGCATTTTGTGTTAGAATATAGTGTAAGAAAATCTTAATAATAAAAAATAAGGAAAATATTTTAGGAAGATTTGAAGTGAGATCCAATAAATGCATGAAATGATATTAAATTGATTATTTAAAAATTGAAAGACATAAGAAGCATTATGAAATCCAACAAACAATTTTATACTATAAACAAAATTCTTAAATAATAAATAATGAAAAATGTCATTTTTTCCATACACTTTCAAATAAAATAAAATAAAATAAAATAAAAAGCTCGTTAATTGATTAGACACTTTTGAAGGGTAGATAAGACATTGTGTAAAAAAAATATATAACGTACGAAAATCAAAATAACTAAACATCAAGAAAAAGATTATAGGGAAGGTTTGAAGTAAATGCATGAAATGACATTAAATTGATTATTTAAGAAATGAAAGACATAAAGGGGTATTACGAAATCCAAGAAAATATTTTCTACTTTAAATGAAAATTAAGAGAATATATAAATCAATGAAAAATATTATTATTCATACACTTTCAAATAATAAAATATAAAAAAAATCATCAATTGAATAGTCACTTTTGAAAGGTAGAAAAGACATTTTGTGTAAAAAAAACATTATGTACAAAAATATTAATAATTAAAAATGAATGAAAATATTTTAGGGAATATTTGAAGTGAGATATAATAGATGCATGAAATGACACAATGGCATTACGAAATCCAAGAAAAGATTTTTTATTATAGATTATACATTTCAAATGAAAATGAAGAGAAAAAAGCAAATATAGGAAATAATTGCATCATTATAATACACTAAAATAATATAAAATAATAAAATCATTAATTAGGTAGACAATTTGGAGGAGTGGATCAAGATCCTTTGCAGTCAGGATCAAGATCCCTTTAACTTACGAACCAAGTTCCCAATAGGTAGGGATCCAGATCCCTTGATGGGAGAAAGCGAGAACTGCTCGAGCTCTAGCTCCAGGATCGCCAGATCGAGATTCCAAGACGGGATTGCCATCCCTTGACCAAGATCCCCGCAACTATGCTCTAGAGCAATCAAAGAAGGTCATTTCATCAAAAATTGAAGATTCGTTTGCATATAGTGTCAAATTCTATTAGATATATGGTCCATTGGAAATTTTTGGGAGATTTGGGGATGCAAACAGAAATTTCAAACTATAGGGAAGGGGAGAGCCATGGAAAGAAAGAGTATCACAATTAACCATTACATTCTAGTGAAGAGGTTGAAGACATTGGGAAAATTCTGCTCAGAGATTGGAATTATGGTAAAAAAAGGGGTTTACAGGCGGCTAGAGAGGGATAAGATACAGTCTGAGAGTGCTAATTGAATCAAAATTTAAAAAATAGCTTTTCCAAGAACCTAGGACCACCAAGGTAGAGGAGCTTTGTCATGGATGGATTTGATATGGTTTCTAGAGCAATCAGGGATTTGGCAATAAAGCAACAATGCCTAACATGCAGCAAAGGCTCCTTAAGATCATTGTAGCTCCCTTGTCTGAGGCTCTACATATGCTTTGAACATGAACTTGTCGCAAGTATGCCCCTTATCCATGGAATGGAGATCTTGGAAATTTCTGGCACCTCAGATATTTATTTCAGCCTCTTAGGACAGATGCTCATGTTGATATGCATGGGCCAGGTTTGGGGTTGATAGAGGACATCCTTACAACTCTATGTTCGTAATGTGCCAATTTATCTTTCTTACGTGTGCCTTAAATGTATGCTATTTGGTTTTGGCTTGAAGCAAGAGTTATTCAAAGAGGATTAATTTAAGAAAGTTGACTCCTAAACAGCATATCCACCATGAAAGTAAGCAATCAATTGATGTAGATCATTTAGCCATATTTTACAAGCAGAATTGGACCATGAGATGCCATAAGGACATGGACTTCCAAATCAGCAAGTTCTAAGGTTGCTCGCTTTCCATGCTATAATACATAATAATACCATTCATGAAAATAAAAAAAGCAAATTAGAGAAACCAACCCAACATGCACTAAGCATGCAAGTCAAATTGCCCAACCTATATCATTTTTATTCCCAAATTTAATGACCCCCAATTTAGAATGAGATGCCCTTCAATTTGCCAAATTATACTTTTACTCTGGAATCAAACCCTAAATAAAGGAAGCTACTTTAGAACTTCTCTGCAATGACAACACCAAAGCAGTCCCTAGAGTCCTCTTTGCATCACCTAAATCAATTTTATAATGTACGCAGATCAAACACAGCAACTAAATAAAGAAATTCAAGTGGAAGCATTGCGACTTCATTAATAAACAAATCACATTTTTCCCACTTTTTTCTACTTCTCATGGTTTCTTAATACTCAATTTTGCATGGTTTCTTCTCATGGTTTCTTATTTTACATTCAACTCAATTTCCAACTCACATGAAAAGCGATTGGACAAAGGTGAGAAAAAAAATCAAAATGGAAAGTGTTTGTATTGAAAAAAAAAAAAAAAACGAACCTCCTGCGTATCTTCCTCTAGTTCTTCACACCATCCACTAGCTCAGAATTTCTTTTTTAGAATCAATTATAGAAGTGCAAAAAAAGATCACACACAATAGTTTTGGGATCAGGTGTGGAACTGGGAGTGGGGTCGTGATCAGGAGCAGGGGATCGTGAAATGCCAAACGATCCGTATGATTGGCAGCTCCATCTGTACAATCCATATGCAAGGGGTCCATATCCCCAAATGTTAGGGATCGAGATCCCAACCTTGTAGGGATCTTGATCCTGACATTTTGGGATCTTGATCCTAACCTTTGGGGATCTTGCCCCAAATCTTAAAGAGCAGGTATATCTAGGACTATAAATACTCTTTAAAGTAGGGATCTATATGAACGTGATATTCAGCAACAAGAAGAAAGAAAAGGCTTGAATAGAAGAACTCTCGAGCATTTGAAGCCTCTTGGTCATATCTCTCATCGAAGGGTGTTATTCTATAATGTTTGTCTAGCAGTTCTCCAGCTAACCCCAGTGAGCATTCAAACATCTGTCGCACATTCATTTGTGAAGCTAGTGTGGTTGTATTGCTAGCCAGGTAATAAATCAAGAAAATATCAATTTGGTAGTAATCTTGGTCTTTAAGGATGTGAACGATATCTTTAACAATAGGAATCAGGACCCCTAACAGTGGGGACCAAGATTCCAAAATTTCAAACCGAGATCCCTTTTCTAGAGCACCACAGCAAGATTCCAGAGCGGGACCACCACTTGTGTTGGGAGATGCCAGCATTTCTGTTACAAACAACAAATACAAATTACTGACTGGGAACCAGGCCCTAAACATGACCCTAACAAACTAGCAAGTCAATAGGACATCTAAATGGATGTACGATACCTACAAAGGATTGGAACCACTCTAACCCACCTAAGATATCCCATAATCTTCACAGACATATTCCTTTCCTATATAGCACCTAATCAAAGTAGGGGAAACTTACCGTAGTTCCCCACTCATATATATTGCATCCACCATCTCCCAGCCATCCAGTCCAATGGACGACTGAGATGTTCCCAATCAAAATGTCACGCCTGTACACCATTTTATTCTTAATTTTTTTCCACAAAACATTTTAACACCAAATTTGAGGCATTCACTCCTCTCTTAAACTCGCACTTACAAAAAATATAAAAAAAATATTCCTGATAAAATAAAATGGCCAAAATACCCCTAAGAGTTTAAGGGACATTTTAGTCATTTTAGTTTTTCAAAAATATTTTTTATTTTTTATTTTTAGGTGGACCACATGGAGATGATGACACGTACCCAGTTTCATCTTCATATGATTTGTAAAAAAATTGACAAATAAAATACTCTGAGATGTCAGATCTATAGATCAAACAGTCAATGGCTCACTTGTGACATTATGGCTAAAGCCATCCCAACCATCCATCCAAATCGGACGGCTGGGAGATGGGGGATGTAGGAAAACTATATACGGGTAGGGAAGTATAGTAAGTTTTCCCATCAGAGTAAGGGAAAGCAGGAATCTGCCTGAACACATCACTCTTACTTGACCAGCTCTATAGAAAGTCAGCAACCAATCTTAGACCAACTTGTAAGGATTCCACCATCTTCTAGGAGGAACTAATGTTATGCTCCACCGTACTAAATGGGAAGCTGGCCAACCTAGAAAAAAATTTATGTTTGTGCAGCAAAGCCCCCTTATAGACATTACATTTTGGCGTGTGAAGGAATAAAGTTCCAATAGTACCAATTGAATCAACTATCTGTATATGTTCTCTGACATGAAGGTGGCATTAGTGAATTGCCTACTACACCATGCCATGTGCAAAATTAATCAAAAAGTCACTATTAGAAGTGCATGAACTTTTTGGATATCAACTTGGTCCAAATCAGGAAGATGGTCAATCAATGTTTTTTTTTGAGAAATAGATGGTCAATCAATGTTACAGCACAATGCAAGGAGGACAGAAGATGCTTATCAATGAAATTGTGGCAACTAGCTCCTACCACATATCCAAGGAGGCGAGCACAAAACCAAATAAATCTCATAATTTCATCATATAGAAAAGGTAATTTTCAACCATCCCACAAACTCTGATAGGCAGATTATCATTTGGTACACTGTTGTAAGGAATCAAAATTACGCACATACCTCTCAAAACACAGCCATACCAAATGGATGAACCATGCCCCACTTTAACATCCCCAATCACCGATGCACTTGGAGCAACAAATGCATCCTTATCAACATGAGGGACTTTGTCAAAGATGTTCATTAGTGTTCGATGCCTTGACACTGAAATAATAAACAAAATAAGGAGAATATTAGATCAATAAGAAATTGGGATAAGGCTTTGATGATGATTGTTAGATCAGGAAGAAGTAATTTTACTATAATCAATTTTTAAAAGTAGAACTCAATCCCTAATTCATGCACAGTCAATGGGGTTCTCAACTCGAGGAAAAAGTAAGCATGATTGTAATCTCATTATTTGAAAGTTTACTTTTATCATTATGTCAACAGCAGGAATCGCATGAGACAAGGTCTGAATAGAAAAATGCACGCTACCATAAAACCAACAATATGTCTTGTTACTAATTCCAGTTTATTCAATTTAAACGACAAAAAAAAGAAAAACCAGACAAACACAAGTTCCCATAGTGAAACCCACGGTTGACCAGAACAAAATCACAAAAACTCAAAAAAAAAGTTTTAACACTGATTATCATACCTAAAGACATTAAAAGATAATGATTAGCTTGACTGTAATATTTTTTTTCTACGAACAAAATTTAGGTTGAAAAGTAATGTAATGGGCAAAATCCTAAAAAAAATAACAAATAGGACAAAGGATAAGAAGCATATGGATTAGGATAAAATGAGTGAATAGGCAAATTGTACCGCATTCAAATCAACACAAATAATGTTAAAAGATAATCCAAATTTCTGTGGCAAATATCACATATCTCCAGTTGCAATGAGGCACCCAGTTTCAATGAGGCAATACATAAGATTGGAGTACCTATAGCCCAAAAGGAATAACACTACATTAGAGAAAGCCACTTGGCATGAAGGAATTGACATCAACAAGCACGGTACAGCTGCAAACTATCTCTTAAGCAATAAAGAATGCCCTAATCAACCTGGCCAAGATACTCAGAGCATCCGAGTCAACTCTCCTGAGTCAGCCTCAAGCCAAGAAAGATGAAATAACAAAAAATATAATAAAGAAAATATAAACATTGGGAAAAGTACATAGAGTATGAGAAAAACCTTTTCAAAGGTAAAAATAAAAAATTGATCAAATAAAATTTTCTCAAAATCAATAAGAAAATAGAAAAATATAAATCACAAAAGAAACTAACATTAAGTCAATTATAATTCATTTAATCAAATATTAATTAAAAACATATTAGAATTATTTTTATCATCTTTTATGTAACCCCCATTATTAAATTTTCCTTTTTAAGCAGGGTGGGGGGGTTTGGTTTGGCACATAGTTGTTGGGAGCAAGAGTGGGTCCGGGTCCGGGTGTGAGTGCAGATGCGGGAGCCCCGAATCGGCATTTGGCAAAAGCTCCTTCCCCTTGGAGTGCTTGGGGGCGTTACTCAGGGGACAATCTTGTATATATGAACTGCATGTATATGGGAGCGCAGGGGGAGCACCCCATATGTATATATATAGATATATATATATATATATATATATATATAAGCAAACTCTTAAAAACGCTTATAGGCGATTTTGACCAGTGTTTCACCCTGTGGCGGTTTATTGAATGAAGCCGCAACATACACGTCGTCTAAAAAAATCGGACAACACCGAGCCTATGGAGGAAAACACTATTCATTTTCG